TCACACTGGAGGGTGGGGCAGGGGGAACCCCCGCTGTGACTTCACACCCTCCCTGACTGCGTCACTAAGTGATGACGGTGTTTTGGTAACATCCAGACAAGCAACGGCAACGCTGCTCCTACCCATCGACTGCAGAAGGGAAACAAAGTCGGTAAAAGTAGGTCTTAAAATGGGAGAGAACTGGGCTTTTTTTGCCTTTCTTCCCACGATGTAGCCATCAGCACACCCTGCCAGCAAGCGCTGCCCACGCAGGGGCTCAGGGAAACACAAGGGGGACCGTGTCCCTCGAGGAATTTGGGGGTGGCAGTGCCAGAAACGCATATGCCATCTGCACCGTGCCCCTGGCCCGCTGGCCAGGGAAGTTCCTAGTCCGTTCATTCGCCCCTAAAATGGATGCCACAGACTTTATGTATAACATTTTGTAACGTGTTTTTATGGATGGTGAAGTGGAGAACCAACCAAAACATAAGGCTTATTTCACAGGAAGAAAAACCGAGGCACAAAGGCCCTGCTTTCCACGGAATGAGCTGTAGACAAGGCAGAACTTGCCACTAAACCAAGCACAAACCAAGACTTTGCCTCCCAGGCCTTGACAGACCATAAAGAACATGACACTCTATCGGAAGTGGCCTGTTTTCCAGTATATTGACGTTCACGGCTAACTTATGTGTGAATCTGATAAGATGGCTGGCAAATGGAACAGGAAAAAAATACGGTACTTGTGTTAGTTAAGTATAAATGATTCAGTCACAGCCATTTACAAAGTGCAATTACAAAGTCCCTGCAGGATAAACTTGGTTTTCCATCTATCAGACACTGGTAATGTTTGGGAATACCAGTTGCCATCATGGAGATTTTTGAGGATTTCTTCTAAACAACTGTCTTCATTTAGCCCGTATCTGGGGCTAAACTGTAACAGTTACTCTACCATCGAGTGATCCCTCCCCAGTTGAGAAGAGGAACCGGGGAAAGGAGAGCCGGAGGGTGAAGCAAGGGCACGTGTAATGAAACAGCAAAACAAACGAAGTGTACACAGTTATACCCAGCCTAGA